CGGTGTTGGGAGCTGAGCAGGGCTGCCTGCCTCTGCGCCCGGCCTGGCGATACCTGAGCCAGGTGAGGACATGGGGTGGGATAGGGGGACAGGAGGGACAGGTTGAGGTGAGGTGGAATGGGATGGCATGGGATGGGGGGACAGGATGGGATGGGAGGGACAGGATGGGAAGTGATGGAGGATGGGTTGGGAAGGAATGGGATGAGACGGGATGGGATGAGATGGGATAAAATGAGATTAGATGAGATGAGATGGGACGGGACAGGCACCCAGCTGGGGATCCACAGTCCTTGGGCTGCTCATGGCCACACGCAGTTGTCCTTTGGCACAGGGGTGGTTTTGGCTGGGGGTGGCTGTGCTGGCAGGGGGACAGGGGCAGTGAGGGGGTGGGGTGGGAAATGAGGGACACTCCTCATTCCCCCTCAATATTTGGGCAAGTTTAAAAATTGTCGATCACAGAGGAGGAGCAGGATCCAAAGGAGAAGGGTGAGTGACCTTGTCAAACAACTCTGGTGGTGTCAGCCCACAGTGTCACCAAAGGAGCTGGCTTCTGGCAGGCTTGGGCCTTGGTGACATTGGGGTGGAGGACCTGCAGAGGTGTGTCTTCTCCTTCCCAGCTGTGCAGCCACCACCTCTGCTTGGGACAAGGAGGGACTTGGCTGTCCCCCCGCTTTGGGGGGTCCCTGCTGGGCAGTCCCCTCCTGAGCATCCCAGGGAGTGACTGGGGTCTCCTCGCTGCAGCTGAGCCCCTTTGCTCACCCTGGGGACTCCCATCAGCCCAGGAGCAGCTTTAATCCTATTTCTGGTGCAAATCTCTTTGACCAGCTTTTTCTCTCCCCGTCCTACAGTTTTCAATGCCCACCCAGCTGGGGTGAGCTCTTTACAGGTTTTACCAGTGTTTTCAGTGACCCACCGTGTATTTGAAAGATTGTCAATAATTACATGCAGAAGGACCTCTCCTGCACCAGGGCTACTCCATGCATAGCAGCATCTTCCCTGCTCCTCCTCCTCCTCTGTGCCAAAGGGAAACTCATTTGGGGTTGGTTCTTCTTTTGCATTAAACCTTTTTTTTTTTTTCTTCTTTTTTTTTTTCCCCTTTTTCTGGCAATAGTGGTGTTTTACAGCCAGCTTCCCAAATGGTCCATCTCATCCTGGGCACAGTGAGTAAAGCTGAGACACGGTGCAGCTCTGACCTGGTGCAAACCCCACCAGGCTCATTGCAAGAGCTCGTTCTGGGCCTGAGCCATCCTGGTGCAGCACACAGGGAACCTTCCTTCTGGGAAACCTGCTCAGGACACCATAATACATTAAAAAAAAAAAAAAAAAATCGGTTATATCCAAATGGCAGCTGAGCTCCTCTGGGCATGGAAGGGGGAGGCAGTGACTTCTGGTGGCTGCATCACAAGCCAGGACATGCTTCATGCTTCCCTGCTTCTCCATCAGGACCCGCTGTTGGGAAATTCAGACCCCGCACCCAGCTGAGTTTGGAGATTTTGGCCGTGTGCCCTTCTTCGGATGCTGAAGAGCTCTGGCAGGGCAGCCGCTCCGCATGGAGGGAAGTGCAGGGTCCGGCTCCCCTCCCAGGAGCCCGGGAAATGCTGCCTTGCCCTGGGAAGGAGCGGGAGGGCTTGGGGCCGGGGATGCAGGCAGACCCCCTCGCCTTCCAAACCCCGCTCCTGGCTCAGCGTCATCCCGCCTTCTCTCCTCATTGCCACACAGGGATTCACCCCAGCCAAGAACGCAACAGCCCCAGGCAGCGGTGGCGGCACAGCCTCACAAAATCATCCCCAGCCATTAAAAGAAAGCAAGCTGGGCTGGGCAGGGATGGCACCTCTAGCTCTGGCCATTGCTGGAGGGATCCCGCCTTGAACCCCGGCTCGGCATTGAAGGGTTGGCCCAGAGCACAAAGTCCGTGCGGGGAACAGGGGGGCTGGATGCGGCCA